GGGGGGGGGGGGGGGGGGGGGGAAGAGGGGGGAATAAGCAGTATTTGGTGAAGTGCGAGCGAAAGGAAATAAAACGCATTCATGACGGTGAACCTTCGGAAATATGACATACATTTGAATAAATTGTCATCTATAAGAAAATTTCGGACCGTCGAACAAAATAAACCAAAAAACAAGTCGAAACTGTGGAATGCATGACTGGCATTCCGATAACATGACAAGAGGAATGTCCTAGGGTTGTGGAGAGCTGAGAATATCGGACAAACCAAAAAATATTTAAAACAGAAAAGGCCAGAAAAAAAGAGAAACAAAAAAGTTCCGGTGGTAGAAAAGCGAAAATGACCTTTCGGCAAGTGATGGTGGACCAACTAGACTTTGATGACACACGCACATCATCATCTTCATCATCATCATCAGTAGTAGCAGCCACAACACGTACACACACACATACACACATACACTGGGCAAGAACGCTTAAGAATGTTAAGAAAATTCTCAAAAGAGGGATATCAATCAAAATGCAAAAGATTAAGCAAAGTGGACGGAAAGCAACAGAGACAAGAACAAAAAAAAGAAAGATGAAGAAAGGTTTAAGCCCATTAACAGTTAAACAATCAAAACTGTCTATTAACTAAATCACTCAGATTAAAGAACATTATGATGAGATAGGAATTGAAGATGATGTTGAAGGAGAAGAAGAAGGAGAAGAAGAAGAAGATGAAGAAGAAGATGATGTTGATGATGATGATGAGACCGAGATGATTAATAAAGAATCAATATTAATCATATGAGTACAACATGATGTCTTCAATCAATTATATAAGCTAACTGTTAACACGACAACTCCGTCTAGCGCTACAGCAATGCCAACCATTCAGCATTTTTGAAAAGCACAATTACAAACATGAAAAATGAAAAGAAGGATGAGCATTTGAAAATATAAATAAAGTAAGAAAAGAGATATTAGTCATCAAAAGCTCAAGAAAATAAATATATATGTATGATGGATAAAACAAAAAAAAATTGAGTTCAAGGTTTGGATTGCTGACGACTATTCGATCAATATGTTCAAAAATGCCGCCCGGACATACAATAAATATATATGAGGGAGTAAAGAAGACAGCAGTGGAATGTGAGATAATCAGAAATGGGTATGTGAGGAGTGATGGAATGGTTAAAGGTAGGATGAGGGGGAAGGATGTGATTGAGAATGTTTTGTCATAAAACGGTCAGTGTGTTATAGTATTTAAGATAAAAACAACATACGCAAAGTAATTTAGGAAGTTTCTTTAGAGGTGGCTGAATAGATGGCTGAGTCTGTCCATCTGGCTATTCACTCAGGCGCAAAAAGATAGTGAAAAGAGTAAAGATAATGATAAGCGAAGAGAATCAAGCTAGTTAAAGAAAGAATGCTGGAATGCAGGAACAGCTGACAATTAAAGTCTGTCACATCGTGCTATTCTGGTCGCTTTTGTTCGAGCTCATCTCCCTCACAGCTATACATTTTGCTGTCCTTATCATAATGTCAACTATTACAGACGAAGATGAGAAGAACATATGAAGTATGTATAGGTATGTATGCATGTGTGTGTATGTGTGTGTGTGTGTGTCTATCTATGAGAAATGATCAAGGATTCAAATGGTCAATCATGATCTCACACACACACACACACACAACAATCAACGAAATAGACGCAGTTTTCCCCTTTCCTTACGTTTTTTTCTTATTTTTTTTCTCTTTTTTTTCATATTCTTTCAAATATTTACGTTTGCGCGTCAGCATTTTGTAAATGAAAAGTGCACAAGTTACCTGTTGAAGACATACATCCGTCGGATGCTGCTGGTGCTGACTGCTCGGATGATATCGTATCCGTTGAGACTGAACTCCACTGCTTGGATGCATAAGAAATATGTTAAATGAAAGATATTTCTGTACGTTCCAGCTGTAGAAGTTGTTTATTCAGATACCGCAAAGGTATTTGAACAATGGAATCTGTCATGCAAACAGATTGGTTAAGGAATTAGAATGACCAGTTGGAAATCCAGACACTCCTATCCTTAACAATTTGTTAATTGACTATCTTCCACTCTCTAGTTCTCTTTTTATTTCTTTCTCTGTCGTTTGTGTACACTAGCAACAGCGTGTTAGCTTGCTTTTGCTCTAAACGATTATGAGGAATATACGTAGTTAACGAGTACAGTAAAGAACATATGCAAGGAAATGCGTACGAAAGAAAATATTGAAAGAGGAAGAATGATGTTGAACAGAGGTTCAAGTAATCGTCTTATATCATATAAATTTCAGTATAATAGAAGCGATATATGAAGAAGGACTAGCGAAGACAACAGGATCGTTAGGTGCTGATGGTAGTAACGGGACGACAACGAGGAAAGTGGAAGATGGACGTTTTCTCTTCAATAGTCTAACTCCCTCCTTCTATGTTCGTCTGTGTCTCGATTTGTTCAGACACAAATAGGTAGATGCGTATTGCCTTAGTTCCTCTCTCTCACGTAACGTGTATAAATGTATGTCGCCTGTACGTCCTCCTGTTCGTCGTCCGCCCCATCTAGGTTCTTCATCTTCCTCCATTTCTCTCTTATGTCTTGCCTATGTATCATTCCTTCATCGATTTCTATTACCTCTCTCTACGTCGACTATCTAAACTGACTTGTCAGTCCGACAACTCTCGTCGGAGCTGGCTACTTTCCGTTCTTCTTGTCTGGCCGAAATTTTTTCGTCACATTCATTCTCTCTTCTGACGACGCATTACTAAATGACTATTCGACGATGTCTGTTCCGACGTCTTCGCGCATACATGGTCAGTAACTATTCCTGATGACGATCATCATCCTCATTGTATCTCTCTTCAGTCAATGAGAACGATAACACGTCAATGAATTGTCTACATATGAGATCACTTTGTGAGTGGTTGTGTGCTATGTATATGCGATCCCGCTCGTCTCATCTTATACATTTCAGTCGACTACAGCAACTAATAGACTCATATGACAAGGGATTACAGTCTTCAACAGAATATTTAAGTCAATAACAGTTAATAAGACAGTGCTCTAACGCCTAAATCAGTCCACGCGAACGAATATCATTAAGAGTTTAAACCAGTCCAAAATTCAATAAAAAAGATAGACCCCGATTACTATATATGGTTAGATATGATGAACTGACCTTGTATTTCGTCAGTTTATTGCCACGTCATTTCACATCTCCTACAACGTCATCTGACACTGGTCGAAATAGCACACGACTTATTCAAATAAATTATCTTGGCTGAAATCAGAACCTATGCGAAGGACCTTAAGCTGACTACCTACCTGATAAAATCAGATGTACAGACATGCGAAACCATGAAAACAAAAAAGTTTGAACCTGAAAAGATTAAATGGTGCATACCAGAAGAATTAAATGATCAACCTGCGCGCGGAGGAAACCGACCGCTTCTCCCAACTTTCAAAAATAAAATACTCACTAACGCAATGACGCGGTAATTAGAATAATCAATAATCATCGAAAGCACATCGAAAGTGAAAACATTTTATTTTACTTCGGGGAAGGTCAATAGATAAAATGAATATTATTATATAACAATGTAAAACATGATTTGTACATTTCTAAAGCTATTGAGACAACTGAGAGAGCAAGCTTGAGGCTTGAACCTGTACAAGTGACATGTCGATTAGGCAAACTTAATGAAAGAACTTCTGATAATTATAGTTGTTCCCCTCCATTTTCCAGTAGGGTATCTGGTGCGGGAGGATCTGTAATGAACAAGAAACAGTTACAAGGTAGAAAAAGGAAATCTAACGTTTCTTCTCATTATAGTCCTCATCTCTAGCCAGAGATTTGTCAGCGTCTCTCGCTGGCTCTTCAGCTTGATCCTCCAACTTAACGCGATCTCCTGGACCAACAGGTAAGGCTAGCTGAGGAACCTCGCCTTCGTGTGGCCTCTGAGCAACCAAGTCGAAGGAATCTATTAAGGACAGGGGTAAGCAATTAGTAAAAAATTTGTGGAATTACTAAGGACAGCGCTCGATAAGGTTGTTGTAACTTCCACGGCGGTTTCGTGTACTTTGAATTGGGGAACCTGCTAAATTGGAAAAAAAAGGTAGGAAGAAGAGAACTTCTGTTAAACCTCGTTTACTGGATTTTCAATATTTCTGGAAAGAGAATTGGCCGTTCCTTTTAAGGCGGCCATTTCTTTCTTGAGACTGAAGTAATTGAAAGTTAGAAAGTCAAAGAACAAGAAAATAACTGACATCTCAACTTTTTCGTTCAACTGTCTGGAAATCACTTCTTGAGATGAAAGTAAACTTTTTAAAGAAGTTGTGTTTCTTTCGCCCTCCGCCTAGAAGAGAAGAGTGAACTTCAAAAGTAGTCCTAGAAAACCTACCACACTCCTACGAAGTTCAATAACTAAATCTTCTTTGTCTCTGTAAAATTATTTATGAAAATGGAAGAGGGGACACCTCGCCTTACTTGATCGTACGTTCCAATTTATTTTTTTCTAAAACATCGTTGTCAACTTTGAGTTTAGCATTCCGAAGTTGTGTTGTACATTCTGTATAAATGATTTGAGAGAGGGTTTGAGAACGAAATTTACCATCAAACTTGTTAATACATTCGACATTTTCGTTTTTCATGGCTTCTTCAACATTCCTGAACTTCTCTATTTCAGCCTTGGCATCTGTGAAGAAACCGTTGAGAGATATTCCATTAGTGGACAAACCTATTAACTGTTTTTTAGTATTGACATTTATTTGTTGCAAGTTTTCAAGTTGCTCTCTGAGAATAGCCAACTCGGTAGATTGAGCCTTGAAAAAAACTTCATTTGAAAGTATCGATGATCAAGACATACCTGGTAGATGTAGAATAAATAAAAAAAGAAAACAAGCCCGAAAAGGAAAAGAAAAAGTGGCAAATTCCTCATGGTTGGACGATCAGAAGTTGACCTACAATGAGGAAAATGACATATTATATCTCCCACATGGGCAGATTATGGGCAAGTTTGTATGAACAGTCGTATCGGATCGATTGGAAACAGAGTGACAACCTGCTCAATTGTAATAAGCACCATTAGAAATAAATGGTGTTGGAGAATAGACGCAGAAACATGGAACTAATCAAGCAAATATGGGATGGAACAGACCTGAGCAATGGCTTCCGACTGGATCCAGGCGAAAACATACAGCTTCAGGAGAGAGTCTGAAAAGGAGTTATCACTAAAGCCTAGAGAACTGAATAATACGAAAACAAGAAGAATAATATAAGAACTAGAGATATGTAAACTGAACGAAAAACTTCAAAAACTTTGTGGTTCGGAGAGAAACGTGGCACGAGGACAACGACAATTGTAAACAGTTTATAAGGTCGCTTGGAGAATTCAATGAATATAAACTTAGAAGGTATTTCAGATGCCAGAAGAACATCGTTGTCAATCATAATCAGAGAAAGTAAAGTTTACTTTTTAGGATCAATCGAATCGATTCGAATAACAACAACAAAAATCAACAAGAAATCAAAAACCGGCTAGGAACATTAACGATGACTTCGTTGAGCTTTGAATTTACTTATCCTCTTTGGGGGCTCACTCGAAGTAGAAGGCTCCGTATCTAATTGCGATGAGACAGAGGGAGCTACTGAAACTTTACCATTCATCAAATTTATCGAAGGCCTCTTACCTGGACCTTGACGCTCGACAAAAACTCCAGAAAACGCTGAACCACTAGCCTCAAACACTCGAGGTTGTTCGCGTTTCTGAATTTCCTCTAAACCTTTCTCATCAATTGGTCCAGGCTTTGTATTTCTTAGTATGGAAGCAGAACCTTCTGATAAACCGAAAGATTGCTTTTCATGAACTTCTAAACTGGGACCGGCGGATTTCTGTAATAAAAAACACAATAGATTAGATCGATGTTATGTGCTCACTTTAGACCAGTTTTCACCTTCATCGGCAAACCGAACACCACGTCTCTCTTGAATAAGTTTTTTTGGAAGATTCAGTTTTTTAACCTTCTGGGGTTCTTCAACAGTTTCTTCAGGGATATCGTCAGAATCTATTTCATAGTCGTCATACTCCTCTTCATCTTCATCGTCGAGGGAATCAGTGTCGTCATCAAGTCTTGCGATGAGTTTGTTGTAATCCTAAGCTTGCATATGCTATCATTAAGAACTTCAGAAAGATTTACATTCTGACTGATTCCCGGTGGAGGAGTGAACTGTGTGGACTCATCTAGTTCTTTGTTCTCTGATTCATTCAGTTCTAACTCATCCAATCTACTCATTAAATCTTTCTGAAGCATGATGGATTCTTAAAAAAAGCTAAGAAAAACACAAACGTAGCCGGCTTTGGTATCCGATGGAGGTTTGAGTGAACTTATGGCACGGCGCTTTTCTCTGTTCCCTGAAAGAAGTTTAAACTTATTGTTGTAAAGTCTATTCGAGTTCACTTTTGAATTCAGCTTCAGCTTCTTCATCATAGTCTTCTCGGATTTCCACTTCTTCACCTCGGTTATCCTGAAAATCGTAACAATGATTTGTATGACTGTGTTTACATACTCCAAATAATCTTTCTGCGAACCCTAACTGATCGTTGATAAGCTTTTTTTCTGTCTCAATATCACTGAGAACTTTTTTGATCACTGAAAAGTCGGCGTCATTAACGGTAAAGTAGTATGGCTTACTGTCAATTTGCTTATTCAGAAAGATCGCAGCATCATAAGTACTTTTCTCCACGAAATATCCGTCTCCTACCAAAACCATAACTTCATTCGTTCGGACTATCTTTCCTGGCATGTAACCCACGCCACCCAATGGTACCTGAATGTACAGAGAGTTAAGGAAACAGCTCAAATGAAACCCTACCATAACATGATGCTGTAACTTCTTTGGCAACTCGTTTAGCCGTTCAATCAATGCTTCGAACTCCTTAATTTGACTCAGCTTTTCCTTAGCGATACCATCAATTCTCTCATTTTCCTGAAACGAACGCATGCACATAACATAAAGAAGGAGAGATGATACTTGAGCTACTGCTGCCTTTAGTGTCTGTAGTCGTTCATCGTTCTCTTTCTGCGAAGTTGATGGAGTTGGCAACATTTTGGTCTCTGCTATAACACCTAATGCATACAATCAATGCTTTGGATGACCTTCACTGTTACTTGTACTTGGCACACGGAAAACACGCAAGCAAGGCTCATTTTTAGTTACGTGTAGACGAAGACCGGTTGTTCTTTTTTTTCTCCTTATTGTTGTTATTGACGATTTAACATATTACTCAAACAAATTCATACATTCAAGCTATTCTTTTAAACAATAAAAAGCTTTTCAATAAAACTTCAAATAAGGGAAAAACGGGTTCGTTGAACTGAGGAAACGACTTCAATTCAACTTGTACAGTTAGCATTCTGATTTCTCAATGGTTAGAAGATTGTGGAATATATACAAATGACTATTGTCATACGATTAAATGTTTCAGTCTCGGGAATTTATACAACACTTTCTATATAAGGCAATGCTCTTGGCTCTTGTTATGTTGAGACAACATTGATCAAACAGTTTCATTGAATGATACTGGAAATCTTCTAGTGTGAACTTTTCACATCTTTTATGCTTTCTTCTATGTGTTTGATATCTTCCTCCAAAGAAGTAACATCACCATTTGTGGTGTTGTGACTGGAAAAGCAGTTTTAGCATCACAAGGTGATGGTGATGGCATTACCTCACAATGTATTCATAGTCATGTACTAGATGTTCCGATTCCTTAAGAGGTTTCGCTGTGGCCTGTAATGAAACTGTCTGCCAGTCGTTTTAATATTTTACAAACTGTTTCAGTTTCGTTGATGGCAACAATTGTTCCATTGCCAGATCTCAGATAAGCATCTTCACCAAATTCTCGGACCAGACCACAAAAAAGTGGCGAGTCTTCTTTATTGCATATTTGGGACGCTGTTGTAACACTCTGGAAGAACGATTATAATGAAAACAAGTCGAATTCTAAACAAACATCGAGACAGTTGCAGAACATGTCATCACAAAGTTTTCTTCCTCTCTGGTCGTCATAACACTTATCATGATTGATACAGCACTGATTCACAGTTTCTATAAGTATAGAGAATGATCCAGGTGAGATGATTTGAGAGAATGCAACCGCTCTTTAGAAACAACACGTCAGAAATGAAATCACTCGACGTGTGATGTTTCAACCGATTGCAAACCTATACTCAATTGAACGACTAACGTTTGAGCTTTGGACAGTCAATGTCTATCTGGTTTTCACTGATATACTTTGAGAAAGAATCAGTTCCACATTCCCATTCTATCTCGTCCTCTTCTGCAAATGATTATTGAATAGAAAGTAAGGTAGTGCTCTAACCGTAATCAGAATCAGCATCAGTCTGAGCATAAACAAAGATGAAGCAAGTACAGAAGAACCAGAAGCGCATTAGTAAATCGAGATGTTAGTTAGTTGCTCCTTCGCTGAAAAGATTGTTTACAAGAAAAACTTGGAAGTTAAAGAAAAGAAGGAAATTTGCGTGAGTTGTGTCTCACGATGTCGATTGAGCTTAAAGGCCGTTGGATGATGCCTGCCCAATTGATACAGGTTTGATTTTATGACGTCATGAACACCAGAAACATGAATTGGAGAAGAAGAAAGTATAAATATGAAATGAAAAAAAGGAAGAGAAAAGCCAAGCAATTCGGCTGAGCTACACTTTAACACAGAAGGTGATCACTTTTGTATCAAACAATCTGACGGTCAAGTTGCCAAGCTTCGAGTGATGAATTACCGCAATCCTTTCTAAGAAACATTAGAGAACATCAACTACACATTTGTTTTCTCAAAAAATACCATTCTCTGTGATATTTCTCCGACAATAACATGACAGACTTGTCTTGACTTCTTACTGAGGTTTGAGAGGAGGGGGGAGAACGCTGACATTAGTCGATCTGGAACAAAGTACAATTCTCAGTCAGACGCAGCAAAAATAAAAGATCTTGTAATATATAGGAAAAAAAAATCAAAATTCATTCATCAATCAAATCTAAGACCACATTGGTATTGAGCAGAAGTCATTCATACCCTTCTTGAGATCGTATGGCAATCGTTTGACAATAAACCACGATCACATTTAATGAAAGAAGCTAATCGTAAGATACAAGTAGTGGATTCTAAACTAGTAGGAAGTGAGTAAACAGTATTCTTATGAAAGTTAATGTAGTTAAAAATTAATGTTAGTTAGTTAGACTATTTAATAACCCGCAGAGGCACTTTCTTCTCCTTTACGGAAGTCGGAGTTCGCGTATATCTGACCATCTTTTCCTCTTTCGACTGCGGTGACAACTGTCAAGTTGTGCACTGGGTGCATTGTATGACCACGAGCCTTCAGAGCTTCCAAGTAAGGCTGGAACTTGTGTAACGTTTGTCACGATATTGGGCTAACCTTTGGGAAATTGGGTTCATAATCAGTTCGGTTAGGCTGTAACTGATTGTGGAGTCGAGGAGCATCGATAGCCTGTTTGACATCAGCTTTCAGCCACAGAGCATGAAGAGCAACTCCAGCTACTCCAGAAATGATTGTGGATCCTCCAGCTCCCCCAACTGCCAGAATGGGCTGAAATAATTATAAATCAAACATCTTATCAGTTAGCCCACTTTAGTTTGATTTTTCTTATTAGTTTGTAAAACAACGAGTGGACTCTGACTGCTCATCGGACGTTTTCCTAAGTAAAAGTAAGTGAGACGCAAATGGATGCACAAACCGGGCCGGATGAAGTTGGCTGGAGATGGAGGAAATCCGAAGAAATTTGCGTGACCAGGAGTTGAAAAATCATCCATTTCATTATTCCAAAGTACTCCGGTCGATAAACTAGTTACCATGGCCCCCATGCTGGAAATAATTCAAGTTTTGTTTTCCTATTTGTCTCCAAAAGATAGATTATGTGCTCGCGAAAATTCGAGACAAGAGTTTGTCCTGATTAGAAGTCAACGCTCCCTTTGACAACAAGAACATCATAGCTCAATAAGTTTTAGAGAAGAAAGAATAGCTAACGAACTGCAAATTGATGGTGGAAGTGACGGACACGGCATTTCCGTAGTCATCAAAGATGCTAATATGGGTTGTTCCATGGTCTTCCGGTGCAGCTTCAAAAGAGCCACCATAGTAGAAATCTGGATGAGTCTTGTCTGTTATCATACTACTATAATCACAGAACCATTTGAGAAAAGCCAAGATTCATCGTAGCTTACCGAACCCAGTCAGCCCACTCGCTCGACGTTATATTGTGAGCAATATCAGTTGCATTCGCAACGAAATTAGGATCTCCAAGCCAACTACGTCCGGCATAACTGAAAAATAATTTGATTTTTGTTTTCTTTCGTCAATACAATTTTCTTGTTTAGGGATACAAGACTGAAAACATACGCAAACTTCGAAGATTCCAGGAAATGATGATAAAACTGAACAATTTCGTCGAACGATTTTGTGTTGTACTCATAACTAGAAAAAGATGCATTGTTGATGCTCACTTCTCCAAGCTTGCTCACCCATCCATTACAGATAATATAGCTTGAGCAACTGCAGATCCAGCTGGTGGTGGAGCACCACAAATCCTCCTAGAATTTCTCAGATTTGTATGAATCACATCCTTGTTTTCTATGATCTTGGACTTGTACGATTTGAAGTCTTCCAATGTTATTATTCCACCTGCAAACGTGTTCATGAGAGACCGGAAGTCAAAAATCGAAAAACCATTCTTTTTAAATTCGGCAACCATCTTCTCAGCTAAATCACCTTCATAGAACTCTTTCACAGGGTTAGTGGAATTGGCCAACACTTGCAAAGTCTTAAGGAAGCTCACTCTGAACCAAAAGATGAAGCGAACCAAATACTCATATGCATACCTCGTTTTGATTTGTTGACCAACAGTGAACACTTTCTTTGTTTGAGGATTGATATACTCGAACATGGTGGGTTCATTACGAATAACATTTTCATTCTCTGATAGAGCTTTTGCAAGAGCATGAGAGGTGGGGTAACCTGTAAGCATTGGATACAAAAACTAGAATATGAAAATACTGAACCTTCCTGCAGAAGCTCGATCGTAGGCTCTACAAGACTTGACCAAGTAACTTTTCGACTTCCATATTTAACGAAAGCTGTCCAAATACCATGCAGTTCTCCTGGAACCGCAACGGCTTTCCAACCTGAATAATTCAACAATAGCTTCATGGTGGAGGACAATCACGACAAACCTAAACGACTCTCATTCCATCGTCCTTTGAACATATCCTCAGTTGCAGCTAATGGAGCCACTTCTCGAGCATCAATTACAATACATTCCTCGGTAGTCCTACAAACGGAGAATAAAAAAATTGTCAAATCTCATACAATCACCCATTGAATATAGTCATAAAGTGACCTCCACCTATTCCAGATGAATGTGTATCCATCACTCCTATACAAATCAAAGTAGAAATAGCTGCATCCACAGCATTTCCTCCACGTAATAAAGTGTTTCTGAATATTACTCGTAAGAATCTCTCAATGCTCGATGATATTACCTTCCTACAGTTGAGCAAATTTCATTGTCTGCAGCAACGGCTGCTTTGGAATATTTTCCTAAAGGACTTAAAGATGGTTTCGGCCACTTCGGTAATCGAGCAGTATCCTGTTGTATGTTATGATCAATCAAGCTTTCTTATGCAACTTACTGCTCTCAAATGGAAATATAAAGCTGCAAAGGCTACTGTTGTTATGAGAAAGCAAAAAACTAATAGCATAAGGGCTGAAGTGAGTACATGTTTAGAGGATTTCGCCGGTGATGGCGATGTTAGTAGAGGAGCTTCTTCATCAAATGGACCCTCCTCAGGAGGTAAATTATCCTCTTCACTGTAATTATACTGAATTAGCATGTGGTAGCAACATATGTTCATTTAACATCCAATCAGCTTATCACGTAAGCTTCACGTGAATTTCATTTATAAGAACGCGGACGTGTTGACCGGTTGAGTTCTCGAAAACAACAACACTATTTCAATATAATATATACTTCATCTGAATATTCTTCATAAATTGAAAGAAAATCACCTCAAAATTCTGGGTAAAGGCATTCTAGGACTGATCACAAATCCATTTGTGTTCACTATCTCGTATTAAAACGTTGATAAGGCGTATAGAAACCGAGAGTAGTCTTGAAAAGCGTTATTATCAGGCCCTTCTATTATCTGACAATTGCAAAGTATTTCAATTTGACAGTGGTTTCGTTCAGTTCCCAACTTTAGCAGTGTTTTTCCTCTTAAATCATCACACAGTTTGAATGCAAGTTTATTCCGGATCTAAACAGCTTCAATAATTTCAGTGAACATCAATTAACACATCAATCAATATAAAGAATAATATCTCATTCCGAATATTTATACAAGACTTCGAATGAATGAAGAATTTATAATATTATGCTGAACAAGCAATTTAATCCATTAATATCCAATATATAATGATTAGGCGTAGCTAGTTTTTAGATTGGAGCACATACACTGCGGCCTACATGATGTAGCACGCCGACGCCGAGGAGTGACCTATAAGATTTAGTAATTAATTAAAGATCGACGAACAAGCGCTCTACTTTATCTGTGGGCGACGACTCGCTGGTGGAAAAGTGAACGGTGATCAAATTTTCTAAATTTTCCAACATAGATTCCATATTAGCAATCTGAATATGAACTTAGTAAGAGCGGAGGGTGAGATAACCTCACCTGCGTTGGAGTGATTGAGGGTTCAGTCGGGGCTGGGAAAGTTCTTTCCAAAGCCACACACCTCTTCATTTCAACTACATAGGCTGCTACACAACCGATAAACTGTGAAGCATGTCTGGTGAACTCAACACCTACAACGAGAAGAAGCTTTTGAGTGGATTGAATGGACAAGGTTACCTTCGTGCCTGAGTTGAGGTAATACGCAATTCTTAGCTGCTTCGCAAGCTTTTAAACAGGCTCGACCTGCAGTTTCAACTTCTCTGAAACATAAGAAATTGATATAGGCACAAATAATAAGCGTAAGTTAAAGGAGATGCAACTTCTGAGACAGCGTCGGTCAATCAATATTTAAAACTGGCGGAATAGTAGACAAACCTTCTTAATGAAGCTCCATCCTGTGTTGTACCTATGCCCTGGGTAGCATGACGGAACAGAGCCAATTGAACTTGGCACTCATGTACCAACTGAATCAAATGTTTTATTATTGGAAAAAACCAATTAGTACAGCAGCATTCACAAGCAATTTGACTTGAGCAGTGTGTAACATGAAGATCGATTAAACTTTCTTTCAATAGCAATAACCCTTCCACAAAAAAGGAAATACACGTATTTATAACGTTACAATCAAAATAGTCCACAACCATATGGGATAAAATAGAATTGCATGAGAAACATGATAAGAGTTATTTGATCACTGCTCAAGCTTAGTTTGTTAGAAATTAATATACAACTAGAGTGCTGACTACGGCACTACTCGAATAATACAAAGTTTCTCTTTTATAACCCGATTATAGGGTTAATGAAAAAAAAAACAACTTAACAGCTTGCTTACCTCGTTTAATTTCCTTACATTAGACATGGGGTGCTGTCTCATGCCGGCGGGCAAACCGCCCGCGGCTGACAATAAAAGTGAAGAAAGTTAGAATAAACTTTTAGAATCTAGGGTAGTACGACGGCCAAATGGCCAGGTAGATGGGTCAGAGGGCACAAATACGAGGGACCGAGAATGACGGGAACCAACACTTTATCTTTCTTCAGCACGCGCTGCTTCCACTCATTCGCACGCGCTGCGAGCCTAGCCGCTCGCGCCTCAGGATTCTCTGCCTCTAGTCGCACGTCGCTCTCTTCGTCTGCACCCTCGCCGTCGGATAAATAGCCGGGTTCTACGAAGAAATCGCCTTGGTCAGAGTCTGCTTCGTCCGTCTCGGGGTCCTGCAACGATAACGCAATCAACTCAGCTGAGCAGCTAGAATTCCTTTCAATGTATATCGTGGCAAGGCGTGATCCCGCGTTGCGACGCGCATCACGTGTGTGGCCTAGTACACGCTCGACATAGACTATGTATTCAATGAGGCATTATATCTTTTTTTTTTAGTTTTTTGGTAACTAAGACAGGTCGAAAAAACTCAAACCGTTTTCGGAGTTTGAGAAAAGAACAAAAGTTTTGTAAACAAGAGAACACGAAAACCGAAATCCAATTCGTACATATGAATTCGAAGATATATTTTTGTGTCAGAATATGTCTATTACGTTGAAAGGAACCCTGCTTTGTTTTCATATGAATTACCTCTTCATCTGATCTACATTCTTCGGCATCAGATGGCTCATCTTCCCACTCAGCATCAGAGTCTACCTGATCATTAACTCATTTACCTGATTAATTTAATAAAGAACTAACGTCATAATCAATTTCAGTTGAAGTAGGCACCCATGGTCTCTTCGAACTAACATTTTTATCTTTTTTCCTCCATGTGCCATAATAAGGAGGTCGGTAATTATCATGAAATTGGAAGAGTTTGGCACGTAGTTCCCTGAAAGCACAATCACTGATATCCGGAACACATAACACACACTCACAACTTCCTCGGTCCTATCTTTTTAATGGATTTTATGGCATCGAAATAGGTGGACTGATTGACCTGGAAGGAGATTATGGAGATTCAGAAACCTTAACAAGCTTACATCATCGTCATGAACGAGTAAGTGTTCTTCTGGATCAAGAGTATCTCTTCGATGTATAGGGGCAAGAGTCATTCCAGGTTTGATCTAAAATCCATGAAACCAATATAAAATCAGAGAGATTATCTAACCTGGAAAGGTTTGTACCACAGTGTATCATCTTCCTCACTACCAAATTGTGAAGGCTTTTCTACCTTGTTGAAGAAACCAATAAATCTAGCCGATGCTCGTTTCATTTTTACTTCTTCAGCCTGGAAGGAAGAAAAACTCAGGGAAAATTGGAAACTTTAAGTGAGGAAGAGAACTGGACTTCATCAATTCATGAAAAAAATTGTAAAGAAACCGGAGTCTTGAGTCCAAAACGTGCACTTTAAATGCCACTTCACCCCTTTTTGAAACATGACCGACAAAAATCATTCACGTAGTTCCTCGTCAGTGAGGACTTGGATGTCGACACTTCGAGACAGTTTATCCCTAAGGATCAAGAATCGAAATAGCTTACTTACCACTTCTTCCTTTCGCTTCATTTCCTTACGTTCCTCTTCTTCCCGTCGTTTTGCTTCCCTCCGTTCATCTTCTTCTTTCTTGCGTAAAGCTAATTCCTCCTTCTTTTTTTGTTTCTCCTCTTCTTCCTTTCTTCGCTTTTCTGCTCGTTCTTCTTCAGCTTTCCTTTTCTCCTCTTTGCGTTTCTCTTCCTCACGCTTCTTCTCCTCACGTTCCCTGAAAAGCAAAACAGTCTGAGGCAGAAGGTGAACGACTTACTTTTCTTTTTTCTCTCGTTCCAACCTTTTCTCTTCAGCTAGGCGCTCTTTCTCTAACTGAAAACAACTTTTGAGCTTCATGAAACTTCAGTCCAACTTACTCGAATCTTCTCTCTTTCCTCGTCCCTCTGTTTCTTGAGTTCTATTTTACGAAGGCGTTCAGATTCTCTTTCTTCCTGCAATACCATGATAAAAGTAAGCGTAATGTTTGTTCAACTAACTTTTGATACTTTGGGTGTCCTCGGAGTTTTCCTACCGGATGAGGTGATACCATTGAGATTATCTTCGTCATTCAAATCTACACAGTCTGCACCATCAACATCAACCTGTAACTATTGTGATTTAAATATTTTTCATGAAAGCTTACAGTTCCTACCTTTAACTTTTTCGCTTCCGGTTCTACAGGTGAGCCAGGATCATCCGTTAGAGGAAGATCCACTAAATTCTCTTTGCACCCATCCTCATCCATACCGGCACCCGCAAGTTATTCTGGAATATTTCATGAATATGTCTTTGTTGAAAGTGCTATAATTGGAAAAACATGGTAATATGAGACGAACAGCTCATCAAATTTCTTTAAACATGCTTCTATCTTCTCAGTCGTTCCTAATCATTCAAGTTTTCAAGAAAATAAGCAAAATTTCATAGAGAAGCATAGTGTTAGTTATGTGAACAAGTTAAAATTTGAAAAATATATCTTTGCGCGCGGTTCTAAAATTTAAATTGCGTACGTATGGTGCTACCGTAACCCAAAAAGGAGACAAACCTGCAGGGAATGACGTGCAAAAAGGCGGAGCAGTGGGCGGTCGCAAGATCGATAGGAGAGCAGTCTCGTTTTCTATTTTGCGTTGATATCAGGCAAAGATGTTCTTTTTTTGGCAAAGAGCAACAAGCAGCACATTCCTGCAGATAAATAATGTGTGTTTGTATTGCCTTTTATAGTTCATTTCAAATTTTATTTTAGCATGAAATCAGGGGTCGATTAGAATGTGATGTTCCATGTATTATGCTGTTAATGATTTTATTGCTCAAATTTTCTCTGACAAGACTATCTCATGATAGATTCTAAAGGAACATGTTGTCTGAATGTGTGTTCTTTCCTCTTGATCATCTCTTTCTCTTCCTAATGTCTTATCTATTCCTGTCGTGCTCCGACAGCCTCAGATCGGATCGGTCAACCACACACGAAAACAACACAAAAAAAAGTCTCAGAAGCTGAATGCTTTCCATTTCCATTCTCTCTTTTTTTGAAAATTCTCTCTTTCTCCTACCAGCTCCTACAATTGGAGCACCGTGTGTACAGTTAACTGATAGACTAGATGTGAGAAGAAGGGACTTGTATGCTGTCACGTAGCTCATCTTCGCATGATTTCCAATAGCGGCAGAACCTTTCCATCATCTTGCTTCCTTTATCCAAAGAGTTTGACGACATAAAACTGAATAGTTTATATATCTAAATGGCCTTTCTGTTTGATTTCCACGTAGAGAAAAGAAGAAAAAGAAGAAAAAAGTGGGAATGGGTGAAGAAGCTGAAGAAGCGACATGTGCTTGATTAGAGGAAGACATGTAGCATGTTGAAGAGATGAAAACAAAGGATTGTCTTCCTTTTTTGTCTGATAAAATGGAAAAGGACGACGAACGATTGAATGAAATGACAATTTTCTCTCCTTTCCCCCCTCCCCCCCCCTCTCTCTCTTCATAACGAAACATTTTTTGGGACATTTTTTCGAAAAATGTTTATTGAGCTTATACGTTATCATTTATTCTCGGCAATTCAATCCCTATAAATATCATTGTAAGTCAATCTATTCTCACTCATTCAGCTCATTTGCTCTTATCTATCAATCTGGTTAGATTTTACTTTTTATCATTAAATATATGTATTATCAGCAATTTCAGTAAGCATTTCTCTCATTTCAACGATATATTCCCTTATAGAGGGAGAGAGTCAGGAAGAGAGGAAGGGTAAAAGAGCAAGAGAGAGCATTTGACCTCTTGTCTCTAAGGCTAGAAGTTGCTCTTCGATTCCTTTTCATCTTTTTTTTTTGTTTTTTTTTTCTTTCATTCTCAATCCATATTTGGTCTTCAATCGTATTCTTCGCTAAGAAAGTTCAACCACCTGAGAAAACGAGAGATAGAGAGAGAGAGGAGAGGTATGGTTGGGGAGAGAAATGAAAAAGAGAATGTAACCTTATACTCAGCTAAAGCTAATGATATACCTATGTGCTGTAGTTGTTCAACTATTCTCTTACCTACCTTCTTTATGTTTTTTTCTTCTCTTTCTTTTCAACAAGTAAAAAACATCTTATCATAAATCAATAATTATATATTATATACTATATGATATAGTTAATTCAATTCTTAATATGCAATGCTCTGCTCATTCATTACATCTGATTAGTTATGATATTCATTTTCAGAATCACACATATCTTGGTAATTATTCAAATTACACGTGAACTACGTTATTCACGTGAGATAATTCAAAAACGTCATTTCGTTATTGTGCCTACGCAGAGAACGGTTCGTTTATCATATCAACTTTCTTGTAAATGCAACTGAATGACGCACGTGCTATACACGTGTTTTTCTTTTTTTTTCTTTTTTTGTAGAATAGTAAAGCTATATTCGCCCCTTGCTTGTCCTAGTAATACATATTCATATATATATATATAGATAGATAGATAGATAGCTATACATGTATGTGTATATGTTATTAATTATAATTCAATTTATTATGTTGATTTTGTTCTCTTCATTTATGACCAAAATCAAGAGCTCTATGTGACTTGTGGTCGATATGGAAAATTAATTAACACCCTTATTGGTATTCGAACTTATCCTCCTCGGGGCTAATTAGAAAGAAGCCTGAGAGAATGAGAAGCTGACTTTGAGATAAAAAAAGAGAGACAGACACGTTAACAGAGACCACAAGAGAGAGAGAGAGAGAGGGAGAAAGAGAAAATGAAAGCAAAAGAGAGAAGTCGAAGATATTTGTCGCAAAGAATGGTTATGGAAGGATATAAGCCATGATTCTTTGAAATTTTCCTTCTATTTTCGTTTTTCTCTCGAACTCTTCCCCCCCTCCCAAGTTGTTTCGACGATGTTCCTAAAAAGTCTTTTTTATTCAAAAAAAAATGAGAAAGAGAAAGAA